ACATTCTAGGTTTACACCACATTAGACCTCAGAGCTTAAAAGTATTAAGGATGTGAATGCTTAGTCCTTCTTGTTAAAAAAAAAATTCATTGAGACACTGTCTCCGCACAGCTACGGCAATAATTTGACAAAACCAAGGAAATAATAGTAGTAGTAGTAATAATCGCATTATTTCTCAGCAACCTATCCCCTCTCTATTTACTGATATTCTATATTTTACTGAGAACGGTCTTTACAAAAGACTTCAAATCACAGCCTGCCTTTAAGTTAAAGCAGATCTATACATAAAATGAAAAATTTTTACACCTATAAAATGACATTAATGTTATCTATATCCTTCTTTTCTTCTAAGCATAAAGTGAAAATTTACTAGACAATGTCACAGATCACTCCAAATGTCTTTGAATAAGGAGCCTAATAAATTAAAGGGAGAAAACTGTAAAATCTGTATTATATTCTTGGCTAGGCCAGACCTTCTAAAAAATAATTTGTCAGCAAAACCCTTAAACTTACGTATTCAAAGTAGTTCTCCTAAATGTACCAGTGAATGAAAGCACTGAATGCATAAATGTTATACAACAAGAATCAATCTGATACATCTTGATGCCAAGTTTGCAACCAGTATGAAAGCTTAGCCTTGGTTCTTTCAATATTGTAAACTACAATCAAGTTCTAGCACACAAATTTCCTACTACATAAAAAAAACGTTCTCCACCCTAGACCTTTTTTTCCCTAAGGCAGTTTATTTTAAAACAAGAACTTGATTAGCTCCCCACAACCTTTCCAGGGCAGTATTTGCAATAAAAAGATGAAGGTGTCAGGAGAGGAGAATAATTTATGTTCAGGTTCACTCTAGTACAAAGAAATCAAATATTTGGGGTTAATCCAAAGGAGATGTCATGCAGTCAGCAATTATAAAGAGAAACAAGCCAAAGAGGGATGTAAAAGAAGGCAGGAGAAAGGAAAGAAAGGGGGGCTCATGAGGGACACACAACAGGCACTGAAGAAGTAGAGAAAAGGGATGACATTCTGCAGAACAAAGAAGCAGGTCCTTCTCCTTTTAAAGCCAAGAGAGCTACAGTGTTAGTTGAAGTTTCAGCCACAGTATCTAATAGACTAACTTCTATTTCTCAGTTTCCTTTCTTCTATGAGAGAAGTCACACACACACACACACCTCACTTTATCTTTGGATAGTGCCAGGAACAGCAAAACTGGCAGTCACATTGTTTACTACTGTAAATTCATTTATAAGTGAATTTTCCTATCAAACTTATCATCATGGGGATTCATTGTAAACGGGTCCTTATGCACAAAGATGATAATACTTTTAAATGGCAAGGAACTGCAGTTGGTTTCCATTCTCTTCTTATAGATGAGCACCTATCATGGGCAAGATACAAGCTGTCATAAAGCCTATTATTACATAAACACCAAAACATGTTATGGGCTGTGTAAAACAAATAATAATAGGCACTGAAAATTCTATGCTTTAAACATGTATAGAACCTACTTGAACTAAAACACTGGTATAAAAAGTTCAAAGGAATTGGTGCAGAGAAGGGCATGCAAAGGTTAAAATTAAAGAAGCATCAAATTGTCACTGTTTTTCCGCTTCACTAAAAAAAAATAGATAATGACGGATAGATAGACAGATGATAGATAGATAGATAGATAGATGATAGATCAGCGAGTGCTGTAGACTTAAAATATTTCTAGTGATGTATAACATTTTATTTTAAAGAAAGAGAGTATTTACTATGTGCCAGGTATTATGCTAAGTGTTTTATGTATGTCAACTTAATGATTCTCATAACAGCTCTATGAAAAGGACTCTACTATTGTTTCCATTTTACAGATAAGAAAACTTGAGTCAAAGAGAAAATAAATACCTTGTTCAGTGTAACACAGCTACTAAGCAGCATAGCTGAAACTTCAACTCCAGCATTCTGACACCAGGAGCCAACTCATAACTATAATTCATGGTTATATATGTAGATCCACTAAAAATATGAATTCCATCCACCAGAGAAAAATGGGAGGACCTAGGATCCAAGTTACCAGGGGACTTTAGAGTCTGCAAAGCACTGGAGGATACTGTTGCAGTATCCTACCCCTAGTTTCCCTGCCTCTAGAGCAAAGCAGCTAGGTTGACATCATTATGCTTGATACTTTCTAATGAAGGAGTTTAGAAATTTAAACCTTCATGCTTTAAATATAGCTTTTCTGTGGCTGTATGAACATGAAGGGGTTCATGAAAAACAAGTCCAGAAGTGAAAGTTGTGGAAAGCAACTATAATTTTGATCCTAGTTCAGAAGCTCAATCTTTATATGTTATATGTATTTTTAGTTCTTAGATTACAATACGCAAATTGATTAATGAATATGAGCCCTTCCCATGCCACTCTGTGCTGAAAGATGACCTTCACAGTTTCATTTCCTGTGGATATGAGAGTGTGTTGCTTGCTCAAGTTCATGGCTGGTAGGGGCCTTAAAGGTCATCTTTCTTTGTGACTACAGCAAAAACTTGGAAGCAGAAAGGTCAGCCCCAATATCTTGCCATTTGCTTTTTGACAGTTGGAGACAAAGCAAGAATCAAAAAGAAATCACAGTTTGTGACCAAAGACAGAGAAACCAGACCACTGATAAAACTATATTTATATTCACTCTCACACAGGCAGCAAGAAATAAATACCCAGGGTTAATCAAAAAAAAAAGAAAAAAGAAGTTTGTTGTATTTTAAGGCAATAAAAAATTTGGAGGAGGATTTTGTTTTTAAAGAAAAAACCGATACACATTGCCAAGATAAGATCTATGACTGCCCCTTTACCCAAAAGAGGTTAAGGAAGGATTTCAAGTTGTGTTGTAAAACTGGTTGTGTCTTCCACATGACTCACATCTAGAGACCTATTTTTGTCATTTCAGTGCAAAACGAAGTGAAGAGTCTAAAATCAAACATTTGAGAGTTCAAATAAAACAAAAAGATTATAATTTCTTAACATATTTTATGGGGAAAGAATCCACAGAAAGCACTTTATAATAATTTAATAAAAAGAATTAATGATGGTGTAGCAGATTTCAAGTGAAAGCAATTAAGTTTGGGGAGTCAGACAGGCTGAGTTCAAATGCAAGCTCTTTATCTTATGAGCCATATTTCTTAGGCAAGTTACCTAAATCTCTAATAGTAAATTTCCCCATCTATATAATGGGCATAATAACTCTTTCTTTATAAGGCTGTTGTGAAGTTTATGTGTAAGAGCGTATGTAAAATCCTTGACACTCCTTCCTTCCCTCTCTCCTCTCCTTCCACAAAATTTAATGAACTTTCTGAAACCAGAAATGTCCTGTGCAAAAAAACTTTCTTCCATTCAGATAAATTTCTGAACAAAGTTTTCAAAACCCCAATACAACACTGTCTACCACAGTGACACTATAAAATATCCATTCCTTCGTAGCAGCAACACAAATTTCACATCACATAATGTTACAAAAATTATATCTCATTTGTGACATACTTGCCATAGCATTTTTTGAAGTATAATTCATGGAAAACATTTCTGAATTTTCCTTTGCGTGGCCTGACAACCTCTCAATTCACTGAAGCCACAACTTACCATTTGAAAGAAAATTAACATGCGTGACCTGAATTTTCATTTTTTCATACCATAGAAAAGTGGAAATTAAATTCAAATCCTATAAACACTTAGGTGTAAAAGAGACAAGAACTCATATGCAAACAGCTAGGTTTTTTTTAGAGGTGTATGTCTGGTAAGAGGATAATTTATACCTAGAACATAAATTTGTAAGTCTGGTTTTCAAATCAAGTAGATAAATTAAAAATATTACTTATATCAAATACATCAGCTCTTTTATAGAACAAAATGGAGTGTAAATTTTCAAAAAAGCATGTTGCACATTGATACCCAAGGACCACAGAAGACATTCCATACTCTGCACACATGGGGCACCAATTTCTTCCTATCAGGCACTCATATCCTAAAGAAATCATCTGGTGACATGTTATCATTTGGCTTTCAACTATGTCTATTTTGTGAGTTAAGGGTAGAGGAATAATGCTTGCACTTCCATAAACTTTACCAAAGCCTTTGGGTTTTTACAGAAAGTTTTAGGAGCAATCTCATCAAAAACAATACTACTTTGTAGAAATCTCTATACAAGCAGAAATTTGTCACTCAAAGATCTTATCTTGGCTGGAAGAAATGAGAGCAAATTATGTCTTATTACACCATTTATATATTGTGCATGTGAACAGACATAGTGTAATTGTAATAGATACGTATGCATATATATGCCATCTGCATATGCATAACATTTTATAATCATAATTCCATTTTTGTTTTGTATTATGCCATCGTCTTTGCTGTGCAGTTCAGTACCATATTATTTTCATTTCAACCACAGCTGCATCATTGCTGCTGCCAGATCTCTCTGTTTTTTTGGAGAAAATATACAATTTAAAATTGTTTTTTTTTTCTTTTTTTTTATCAGAAAGGAAAGTCATCAAGAATTAGATTTTATTTTAGGAACAAAGTAAGGTTTCATGGGAGAAAAAAACAAAGCCTTGGTGTAGAGAAGGTTTGTTCATTTTCTATAGCATTACTGAAGTGTCCGTATGCCTTGATAATCCTATCAATGTTTGGATCATCTCACTGGGGGAAATGACTTAATTTAACTCTATTTTGGTGTCTCCACAAAGGTAAGTTGTCTATTTTGAGAGCCTACCTGGGTAGTTTTATGCTACTTCATTTGTGAATAAAACCCCAAAGTTTGCCCATCTCACTTGTCGAATCAGTTTCCACAAGTAGAAAAGGGGGGTGGGCAGTGGGTGGAGGAGGTGGTGTGGGAACTGGCTGGGGATTTACCTGTCGCACAGTTGTCTTAGACCAATATCTCATAATCATAAAAACCTAGGCAAGAGACAGATCAACGAACCACAGAGATAGTGAGTTAAACTGATGCTCTATTATTTCATGTTCTCTAGTGTCTCTCTTTCAATGCCATCATGGAAGAACTGGGAATCTCACTGAAAAATCAGAAAAAGTTAAAGAAAAAGTCAAGAACTAAGGGGAAATCTTCCTTCACAAGTATCCTCACTTGTCATCAAAGACGAACTCAGAGAAAAGAGAGTGTGGCTTGAGCCAGGAAAACACCTGTAGGAAACTTTCAGGAAGAAAAACACATGCTCGCTACAGGTTTTTGGAGAAAGGATTTCTGACACCTGTGCTATTTGTTTCCATATATCTATATACATAACTCGATTATGCATACAGATATAAGAAATACAAAAGTTTCAAAAGCTCACATAGACCGAGGTTATTTGGGAAGCAGCACAGATTCTTTTGAAATGAATTTGTATGTTCACTTATTTCACCTTTTCTCTTTCATCCCAATAAGTTGCTGTGTGTCCTTTCTAAATAATAATAAAACAACAGGGTTTTTTTTCCAGAATAATTTTGAGTGTTGGTTTGCTCCCCATTACTTGCTCTTATTCACAATGTTTGGTTTCCAAGTGTCATCAACTGTCTACTTTGCTATTTTGATGAATCCTCTTACGTTTTCAGCCTGATAGAACCATTTCTGACTGAGTTAAAAAAATTCTTTTAGTTTATACCAAATACTTAGTGATTATAGTAAAATGAAACCATTCATTTTTGTGTTTTAAAATCTAATTTTATAAATAGTTTAACTGGTACTTGGAACATCTGTGAATATAAAAGGATACTAAAGAGGGAAAATTCATTCAAAAAAATAAGTGTCCACCATATTTGAGGCACCATTCTAGGTTCTGGGGATACCACGGTAAGGAAGAGAGATGTGGTCCCTGCCCTCGCATATATTATAATAAAATGGAAAAAAAAAACATTCTATTACCCAAAGGAGGATTAAGCACTTCCTCAATGGAGTTCAGAAGCTGTGGGAACATGCAGTAGTATTGAACCTGGGATGGGACAAGGAAGTCTTCCTGGAGGAAGGTACAGCTAAGATCTGAAGGAGGGTGAGTTAATCTAGTGCAGAGAGAGACATCAGATGGAGAAGGCAAGCATTCCAGTTGAGGAAGTAGTTATTCTAAGGCACTGCAATAAGAGAGAAATAGGGCCAGAATGACAGAGGATAAAAGAGTTTGGTAGCTAAAATGCATGGAGGTACAATGGGGCTAAGCAGTAACAACCACTGTGGCTGAGAATAAAGAACTGAGAGAAAGAAGACTGAGAGGAGGATAAGAGAGAGATTCCCTTGCTCAGTAACCCAGAGGAAGGATATTGTAGCCTGGGCCAGTGGAGTACCAGAGAGACCGCTACATGATAGAGGTAACTTAGAGGCACAAGTCACACAGCCAGAGATTCAGAAAGTGGTCGTGAGGGAAAGAAGAGGGGGTTCAAGGAAAACACCAGGATTTGGGTGTGGAGGAGTGGGTGTGGAGGAAGGGATGCTTAGCTGGGGAGCTGAGGTATTGGGAAAAAACAATGGGAAAGGAGCAGGCATTGGATCAATATTTCATATAATTAAATCCCATTGGTTTCTGTAGGATTATTTTACAACTAAAAGAAAATTTTAATCTAGTCGCTCTAGAGTTTAAGTACAAAAATAGTTCCAGACCTAAAAAGGAAAAAAAAAATGACCTTTAAAATAGCAATAACAGATACTGGACAGATATTTTTCAGTGATTGTAATCAACACTCAGATTTCGGATCAATTCGAGTTTTATTAACAACAAATAGAAGACAATGTAGCTCATAAAACTGCATTAAGATGCTTATATTTAAAAATTACAAATAGAAATATGATGAATCCAACTAGCTGAAAATGAACTAGAATGATATGAAAATATGACAGGGCAAATATGCAGTTTATTTAGTTCATTAAAAATTATACCAAAGGAATTCTATTTTACATTTTCTAATTTAACAGTACAATATTTTCTCTCATTTCAGAAAATATTACATTGCTGTATCCTTTCACATACAGTTATAGTAATTTGTGGGGGAAAAAAAAGTATATCAACTTCTAATATGTAAAGTGTGTGTGTCAATCTGGCTTCTAGGTATTTTAAAGCCCATTAACCACTTTCCTCTTCACTTATCAGTAGCTGAATTTTTATTCAAGGCATAATATATTGAACTAGGCAAAATTGCAGAACAGGGCTTTTTTATATTAACTACTAAATGTAATATATAATCACCTCCCTTTCCCCCCAATATTTTTATTCTGAAAACTCATTTGATGTGTACACATGGGCATATGTTTCTGTGTGTGTCTGTGTGTGGCAGAGTGAAGAACAGAGTAAGCTAATGAGTTCAGAGGAGAGAAAAAGAAGAAACTACAGAATACCTGGAACCTGATCCAGAAAAAATTCCCTGAGATCAACTATTAATCTTTGAGATTTTCATCCCTCCCTCTGAAGAACAGTGACTCATACACAGTTATGTAGAAATCAATGGCAAAGTTAATTAAAAACTGGATCTAACATTTCTTCCTTCAGCAATCTCTTGATGTTAATAGGAAAAGATGGCTCAGGTGAAATATTCAAGAAAAGACAGGGAAGTCAGTGTTGATTGAAATACAATGTTCACAGTTAAGATTTATTTTCCTTTCAAGTTTCAAATCTGAGGCTTTCTTGCCTTCAGTGTAGAGAAAATGGAAGAGAAACTATTCACTACTTGCATTGGCCCCATGGGGTTGCTGATACATATGGGGCTCAGAGTTTTCCATTCTTAGTCTAGAAGATGCTGGAGAGAGACAGAAATAAGAAGGGAGTAGGTTAAAGAAAACTAGGTGAAGATAAACTATATTTGACCAGCATTCTTTTCTCTATCTCAGCAGTTACTGCTTTAGTTTAACTCTTTGCCTGACCTAAAAGGACTAAATAGTTTCTTAATTAAGAAGCTCCTGCAATTGTTGTTTTAAAGGAGGAATACAATTAAGAGTGCCTATTCTGAGAAAGTTATCCCTAAGAGCTATATATGCAGTGTGATTTTTACAGAAACATAAAGTCTATCAGTTCCAAAATGTAAAGCCCACCAGAGTCTCTCCAACGTCAGAGGATCCAATGCATCAAGTAACAAACTGGCTCAAATTATAGTCTACTTGCTCAAGTCATTTATTATTTGGATCCTTCAGCTTACAGCAAGGAGAGGACAGGCATTCACTGTCAGAAGTGCACAGGGTTAGGGCGAGTAAGCCATTCCACCTAAAGTAATGGAGTGCTTAGAGAAGGTGACTACTGGGGTGGGGAAGAGGTGATAAAAGGTGAGGCTGGGGTTTCAAAGGCACCCTCAGTTCTCAGGTTTGTTCAGGTCTAGTCTTGTATATGGAGGGAAACTTTTTTCCAGTCATATTTTTTAAAATAATGACCATGTAGAAGAAAGAAGCAGGACAAAATAGGAACAGTAAATCCTCCAGAGTGGAGACATATATACTACATTTACAAGTAGTAACTCAAAGTCCCATAAGCCTTGGGAGTGAAATGACCATCTCGATGTGCTGATGTTTAGAAATCCAGAAACAGGCTGGCTTTGCAGGTGAGTATCCTCATAGTAAGTCACAGGCTCACCAGAGAGACTTGCTTTTAAGCTTTGTCCATAAGATACCCAATTAAAGAAGTTACTCCACTTTTACACAGCCTAGTAGGTTAACTGAGACTCCAAAATGGATTCATGGACATGTATTGTCTGGTTTGTTTGTTTATTTACATTCATATCCTTCTTCCTTCCTTTCACCCCTCATTTCCTATCCCTTTTTTTTCATTAATAGAGTGCCTAGACATCCTAGTTTGCCCTGAATGGTTCTGCATTAAGCCTGAAATTGTGAAGTCCTGTAACTTAGGCTCCACCCACCCCACCCTTCACATGCATATCTTAATTTGGACAATAAGTCCTAGGACATTTTGCTCATTGGTCTCAAGCTTCCTCTTCTTGACGGCCACACAGTTTTACTAACAAAGCTGAAAGCTCTACTGATGTTAAAAAGGAGCCTCATCCAAAGGAGACAACAGAAGGCAAGGGACCACTACTCTCCATCAAAGTAATCCAGGCTGACCTGGAGGGAGTCAGATTGACTTGGACATTTCATTTGGATATTATGAGAAAAATTTTACACATATAGATATATGGCAATATAGATATAGATAGATGGTGATAGATGAGAGTTAGATACATAGATACATAGATGATAGATAGATAGATAGATAGATAGATAGATAGATAGATAGATAGATTAGATAGATAAAGATAGATAGATAGATCCCATTGTTTTAGTCTGACCTGGGCTATGCTCTCAGTAAATGTAAAGGTCATGTCATCAGATGTTAATGATTGTTATAGCAGCTAACATTTAACAAGGATGAGCTAAATCCAGGTACATTGTATGTACTTCACAATATTTGCTCATGTAATAGTCATAGTAAACCCTAAAGGAAATATTTTTTACCAAGTTAAAAACAGAAATTCAGAGAGGTTAAATATCTTGCCCAAAGTCACTTAACCATGAAGTGGCAAATGGTGCAGGATAACCCTGCTCCATCATCGCAACCACAGTGGTTCTTTCCTAACTTTTGGAGGCTAAGTACCATTGACCAAATTCAGGCTTTGTCCCAAGTGTACATGATCTCATAGCATCCTCTCAACAGCCTTACAAAGTTAGTATTCTCCCATCAAAATAAAAGGAAACTGTAAGAAAAAAGTTTAAGTAGCTCCCCAAACTCAGACTGCCTGCTGTTTAAAGAACAAAGATTCTAACTTCAATCTCTCAGAGTCCAGAGGCCCTTAACCACGGCACTATACAATCTTGTCTTTTTGTCTTAATGCAAACCTTGACTGAATTTTTAAAGAACTATCCATGGAGCAATTTTTAAAGAACCATCATTTAATAGAGCAAATAAAGAATTTCCTCTACTTATTGATGTTTGCTATTGTTGTTTCCTAGAAGCAATATTTAAGCATTCTAACCCTTAATACATAATAAAATGAACTCTCCACCAAATCTGTGAATTAGTTGTATTACAGATTTAAAATTACTCTTTGAACACTTCTCATTCATAAGGCAAGTCATTCAAATCATAGTAAAAACATGTGAATGGCATGATATGATAATTACTGTATCTCAAGGCTCATCATGTTTCCAGTAATCTCAAAGGACACCATTAGACTGTAAATTCCCAGCTGATTGTAAACTTCTAGAATGAATGAGTATATTTCTTTGAAATATCAATCACTCTGTAGAGGTTTTTTAGCCTCTTGCATATAACAAGTAATAAACAAAGTCTTCCTGAAAAATGAATGACAATCTTTGGAGCAAGTTTTGAGGAAGATATAGTCCTTGCATTTGAGAATATTGGAATTGAATAGGTCAAATTTCAGAGGTGAAATTTTGTTGGGACACTTGATTTTTAAAGACTATAATTGCAAATGCCATTGAGTTTTCTAGGATTTGAATTCCTATCTACCCCCAAG